CAACACCCCCCCCCCTTCAGCCCCTGCTTTCAAACTTTTAAAAACTGCTACTACAATTGCTGGATGAAAAAATCAGCATAAAAGTGCATAAATTGTTCGCAAGAGACTGAAAAGAGATGGTATTCCTCCACGATATCCGTACATTGGAAACTCACTAGAATTGAGACGTCGTACTGTACATATTGTTATGCCCCTTGAATTTGGGGGCGATGAAAATGACATCAACTTGACTTTTCAATCTGCAACATAGGACATGTTTGATTTTTAACACAACACACTCTAAAATCACTCAAAATAACAAAAGGTTTAAACTGAAAACTTAGATTTTCATATTATTCTGAATATGCGTTTCTTTTTTTGTTGAGTATATTAAGTTCTTCAATTTTCTCAGACAGATTTTTCAAACCTTTTACATTTTTGTCAAACAAGAAAAACCTTCAAGATCATTTAAATACAGTGCAAATAAAAATGGTGATAAATCTTCACCTTGTCTTACTCCAACAATACATGAAAACTTTTCTGATGATACTCCGTTAACTACTACTCTTGATTTAATATCCTTATACATATTAGTTATACCTTTAAAAAATTTGTCATCTATATTGTTTAATAAAATTTTATTCCAGAGACCTAATCGCCAGACCGAGTCAAATGCTTTCTCGAAATCTATAAGAACACAGTATAGTTTCTTTTTATATAATTTAAACAGTTCAATAAGTGAGTATAATGAACAAATATGATCCAGAGTAAACAAATCTTTTCGAAAACCGGCTTGGTTCTCCAAGATAAGTTTAGCTCTATCATCATAGTTATTTAGTCTCTCATTCATGATGGAAGTGAACAATTTACCCAAACAACTTATTAATGTAATTGGTCTGTAGTTTTTAGGATCGAATTTATTACCTTTATTTTTATATATTGGGATTATATTGCCATTAGTCCACTGTGAGGGAATTATTCCAAAATCAAATATTCTATTAAATAGCTCAACATACAAGTTCAATAAACAGTCAGATGTACTCTTGATGTACTCATTTATAATTCTGTCATCACCACTAGATTTATTATTTTTCAATACTTTTAAGAACTTCATCATGTGTGATTGGTTGATTAATATAGTGATTCAACTGTATATCAGATACCAGAAGGAGTTCTTCCTCATTTAAAACATAGTTCTAGTTTGATTCATTGAATTGCATATTGCTACAGTCTTTATAAAAATTATCGTTTAGGTCAGCCATACATCTTTGCTTGTTTATGTTTGTATTAAAATTTTCCAATATTCTTAAGGGTTTCCAAGTAATTAGGTATCTTAGTTTTCTTTCATTTCTGTTCTATGCATGTTTACTATTTGCAAGCTTTAGTTTCTGATTATACAACTTTTCTTTTTCATACACGTTTGTTTTGAAAATAGAACCACCAAAATTTTTATAGTCTCCTTGCTTTTCTATAGTTTTGCCTGGCACATTTACAATCAGCCGTAAACCAAAGTTTATTAACTTTACAATTTTTGATTTCTTTGTTACAGTTTGTATAAATTTGTTTTGTGCCAAAAACTTCTTTAGCACTTTCTACAAAGATTTCACCAACTTTATCTACAATATTATCAATAAACTCCAAATTAGTATCTTCAACTGTTTATATCATTTTCAAGGACTTTAACTACATTCTGATTCACCCTTTTTTCAACATAGTTTTGGTAGTTCAACTTTTTATCAGTATCCCAGTTTTTAGCAACTACATATAAGGGCCAGGAGGTTGATCATCAGTCTCACACCCTATAAAATGTTCATTTCTAAACATTAATGAAACTTTAATAGGATTTATGTTCCTCTGTTATTATGCAAGACCGAAGCCAAGTCAACTAAGCTAGTTTTTTGATGGATTAAAATTAAAATAACAACAGTAGTGAAAGTGAAAAAATGTCATTTATTGAAGTAAATGACGCAAAACAAAATATAAACATATTATAAGGGGGTCAAACAAGACTAGAAAAAACTTCGAAAGAATACAAAAAATCTTTGGTATCATATTATGCAATCTGACCCCCTAAAATTACATATATCATAAAGCCGGCACTGATATGCCTGTCATCAAAAAGGGTGGGTAAAAAGAAAATAAACGCCAAACAAATAAATATGAACACTAATTCATGTACATATATAACAAATATAATATAAGGCGGTGGAAGAAAGGGGGATGGATGGAGGGTTTTTTGACAAAAAATTTCCTTGTAAATTTGCGTGGCTTTTTCCTTTGGCAAATAAAACAATGGTCAGGGAGAAGCCACACTGACTGGCTGTAAATTAAGACAATGGTGTCATAGATTAAAATATGGTAATTGATCCCGATCTAAATAGTTTTTAAACATGAAACAACTTTACAACCATTACCGAATAAAACATGTTACCTCAGAAATAAATTATAACAAATATACCAATTATAGTTAATATAACTCTGTCACGTAAAGGATATTATTATTGTAATAATAATAACTTATTTAAACATTAATGAGCTCAGATATTATAGTCTAGTTCTCTTCAACTATGACCTCTGATCTTTTCCTGATCTGGACCACCGATTCTTTTATTTGTTTAACTTCGCTACGTTGATCTTCATATTGTTTGCTTAAGAAATGCAGGCCCTCGTCCATGTCACCCATTTTAGCTTTCATTTTCCTCAGCTCATCGTTTGTGGTTATCACGTTTTTTTCTAATTCCCCTAATCTTTTGTCAATTAGATCGAGTTTATTCAGTTTGCTTGACACGTTTTATCTATAGCTTATCATATCTGCTTGTGTTTTAAATTTGCAAAATCATTTTCATGTTTTTATTCAAAATTTACCTGTTTTGTCAATGAGTGTCTGTATTTTAAAAGAGAGGGGATATTAAGTGTCACTGTGTTTATCTAGGCTAATTGGCAGGGTTATCTCTGATTGCAGATAATGAGGGGAGTAGTATAAACCGTCTAGATAGACGGGTCAACTGAGTGCACTTTTTATGCAAATGAGGTCAAAACTTCTGGATTCTGATTGGTGGAGGGGAAAGGGGGGTCAACTGAGTGCAGTCCTAACCCTAACTAACCCTAACCCTAGCCCTAACCCTAACCCTAACTAACCCTAACCCTAACCCTAACCCCCCTAACCCTAACCCTAACCCTAACCCCTAACCCTAACCCCCTAACCCTAACCTAACCCTAACCCTAACTAACCCTAACCCCCTACCCCTAACCCTAACCCTAACTAACCCTAACCCCCTAACTAACCCTATCCTATTCCCCTTAAATACTGGAGTTGTTTACACTGTGTTTTTTTTTTTTACATTGGTACGTAGGTACTACGTTTTGTTTATGCAAAACACAGGTAAAAAATGCGCCGTGTGCAAAAAAAAAAACATTGCAAGAATGTGATTATGACGTCACGCATTCACAGTCTAGACAGTCTAGCCTAACCGGTTCAAACTGGTTTTAGTGAAAACAAGAACACAGATTTTGATTTTTTTCCAATTTTTATTCACAATGAAAAAATACATACAATTTACATTTTCTGTTTCTTCTGTGCCTTTTCAGGGATCTGTAATCAATCACTGTGTTATACCCCAAATTTTACAATAAAAATTAAAGACATTACTAAAGTATATACGAGCATTCAGGTAGTAGGCGTGACTTGGGTGCCATAACCTTCTCTTTTTCATGTCCTTGAGCAAATCCTGAAAACAGTCTTCTGAATTTCTGAACCAGTAACTTCCATCCAGATTACCAGGAACACCCTCGATTGTCCACTTGTATTGAGGACATCCAGGAACAGCCCAAAATGGGTACTTTGATTCAGGACCACCAATTATTCCCTCAATATAGCTGAAGACTAGGTTTCTTCTCTTAGGACAATCTGCAGCATGAATTTTTTGTCTTGTTTCCAACCATACTCTTGGGGTCATTTCTTCTTCTTCATTAGGTGATTCTGTGGAATGAATTTTAAAATTCATGAAATCCTGTATGGCTTCTTCTGTGGTTTTCATCCAAGGTCCCTTCTTATCAATACCATATCCGAATATCTCAATATACCAACGATGCTCCGTTTTCTCTGTCATATTTTCCTCTGCCATATTTTACCTGTGTTCACTTCCTAGTAATCACACAGACTGATCCTCGATGTCCAGCTCTGGTTTATATATAGCATGGATTTTATTTTTAGGGCCGTGTGCAAAAGAAAATACGTTTTACCTACGTTTTCCTTATATTTACACTGTAAATAAAGTGCCGTGTGCAAAACATTAGGGGTCGTGTGCAAAAGAAAAATACGTTTTACCTGCGTTTTCTTATATATATACCTGTTTGCATCCTCTATAAAGTGCCGTGTGCAAAAAAAATTAGGGTCGTGTGCAAAAAAGAAATATACATTTTACCTGTGTTTTCTTATATACCTGTTTGCATCCTCTATAAAGTGCCGTGTGCAAAAAGTACGATAAACTTACCTATGCATTGTGACGTCATTCACTGTATAAATACAATGTGATTATGACGTCACACTTTTTCATTTACAGTCTAGACAGCCTAGTCTAGCCAGCCTAACCGGTTTGAACTGATTTTTTTACTGAAAGACAATAACAAATAACACACAATACAAAAAACATGTGTGTGTTATGTCTGTCAAGTTATAACACCAGGTCACTTTTTTAAAAAACTTAGAATTTCTTTTTAAATTTTTTAAACTTTTTTTTAAAAAACTTATAATTTTTTTTTAACTTTTTTAAAATAACTTTAATTTTTTTTCTTATTAATTTTTTTTTGGTAAACTCCCCTTATAGTTTTTAAGAAATAAAATAAAAAAAATCATGTAATACTACATCAGTGTTATGTTATTGTATGACTTCATCTTTTATACAGTCGGGTTCGGGGTTTCGGGCGGCCATGGCGAATTTTCGGCAGGATTTTACCCCAATGAAAAAGCTTTGTAATTTACCCTGTAGGTCTTTTAAAGTTGTTTCACATTGTTTATGATTGTGATTATGTTATCGCTCACCTATATGTTTAATGTCAGCTATGCTAAATAACCCATTTCTGTGTAATTTGAGAGAATGTTTTGACATGTGGTTAAAGTATGGCGTGCTATTCATGTTATCATTTAAAAAGTCGATCCTAAATAAATCTGTCTTAAAAAATACATTTTACGAATGACATTTAATATGATTGATTAGAGTATAGGTATCCATATATAAGAGATATTATTTTGCATTACATTTAAACATGTTTTTCTGTCCTGTTTGTCTGTCAATTGTTGCTTTACTTCCTTTGTAAAATGAGGTTAAATTGAGTATCACTGAATATTGTATGCTTTTTTTTCAGGATCAGCTAAGATGTTATTTCACTGGATTATTTAATGGATAGACTTATTGGGCATATATTTGGATATCTCTGGTAAGTTTGTCTTTGTTTTGTTTACATTTTCCTATGAAGGTCATCTTTGCATTTAACCATGATTTATATGTAAAGTTCTATTTTGAATGTAAATGCTGTATTTATCCTCATTTCATGTGATTTACAGTTGTATAACCTGCATGTAACTCAGAGTGCATTTAATATTTCTATGATGGATCATTCTTTGATTGAATTTAAATCAGAAAAATATTCACTAAATTTTGATAAAATACATATGGTATCTTTTACATTTCTGTCCCTTTTATCTGTCAATTATTGTTTTACTTACATTGTAAAATGAGGTTAATTGTGTATCACTGAATATTGTATGATTTTTTTTTCAGGATCAGCTAAGATGTTATTTCACTGGATTATTTAATTGGGCATATAATTGGATATCTCTGGTAAGTTTGTCTTTGTTTTGTTTACATTTTCCTATGAAGGTCATCTTTGCATTTAAGCATGATTATATGGTTAATTTAATGACTGTGTAATATGTATTTATTGAAGTTATCATAACACGTGTATCAATAGGACACGTGTTAATCTAGTGTATATGAAGAGTGTCGGTCTGATTGGTTAAAGTATTTATAGAATACCTGTCCTACAGGTATTCTGTTAAAGCACGCACGCTTTAGCGTGTGTAAGATTTAAATGCCATTCGAAGGCTCTTTCTCAGTGCAGTCAGACGTATCTATTCAGTGTCCCCATGGATTATGAGCGGCATTTTCCTATGTCTGACGAAACACATGGAGGAATTCCTTTGTTACTAGAGTCAGAGAAGTCACAGTCCACGTCTAATTCATTTGCATTTTTGCTGCTATTTACACCCGAAAACGTAGCGGGTTAACTGAAATACGAGGAAAACAAGGTACATTTGTTTAACAAGGAATTATTAAGAGCTACTTGATAAAAATTCAAGGCATTATATGTTTGTAATAACAAAGCTGTTAAGATACCATGGTAAAAAAAAAAAAAAAAAATTAAACAAGACATAAGTATAATAGAAATACAGACAGTTCTCCAGCAGGGTGGAGACGGCATGAAAGTATCATTATAATGAATATTAGTAAAGAGAGTAAATTGCTTTTCTTCCAATCCTATGGTAAACATTTTCCCCTTGCTGTTGTTGCTTTCGAATTCAGAGTTTACATTGCAACACCCCAGTCCAGGGACTTATGCTACAAGTGCATGCAGACGGCCAGGGTTGGCGGCACCCCAACAATCAATACATCAGCGGTATAAACTCCAATCCATTTGAAATGAAATTGATAAGTATATATTATCAGTAGATATGTTTGATGAGATAACGATTGAACATTGCAGGTTTTTACCAATAAAATATTCAAATGGGTCTTAAAATAAATGAATAATAGTTTCTGAAATCATTATGATTCCTGGGAAAATATTCTGAGATATAAACGACTTTATATTCATTCACAAATAGCCCATTTAGAATTAGTATACAAAATCTACTCTATAGAACTTTTCGTTTATTTCAAAAAGCATTGGAGATGTTATTATTTCAGGTTGTGTTAAAAGATACATTTGAGCGTAACAGAAAAGAGGATAAAGAAGTGTTTGATTTTAGTATTTGGTATTGAAATGTGAGAGTAATTTGAAGAGTGTGTCAGAGAATTTTAAGGTTTAATTATCAAGTTATCCTTAGACGAGGTAAGATTTAAAAAATCGATTTTCAGTACAGTGCAAGATTTAAAATGGTCGGGTATCAGATGGAATTCAGGAGCATTCAAAGCTTCCATCCCACAAAGAAGAATTCAAAAGACAAATATTGTTCTATTTCTTTCAGATTAATCTAAGACTTCTGCTAGTCGTCAGAAAATAATATCATTATGGGTAACGTTTGTGTAGGTTGTTAGGAAGATGTTTCTATATGTTTTACAAACATTTTGGGACGGTACACTTTATTTCAAGATTTCAGTTAAGACGATATGGCTGAAAATTTGTTCATCATATATCCGAAATTTTTGTGAAAGAGAACTTAAGATTATACAAAGAGAAAGTACATTGGTAGATTCAGTTTCTAGCGCAGTAGGTGCTGGGGTATAAGGGCAATAATTGTACATAATGGAAATTGGCTTCTTTTTGGAATTTTGTGCATAAAGACAAAGTTTCAACTCATTAATATTTCAGATACTCAGTGTATTGAAGTACAAGATGCGTCTGAATCTACATGTACATGTATGTACACGCTCAAAAGAGAAATTTAAAACATTGTTTTTGGTTTGATCTGGTTCTTATTTCCAGTATAAGAAATAAGATTTTATGCAATTATCAATATGTCGTGATGATTATAAGTACTGGAAGGCACTGTGTCATTGGTAAATGTGCGTTGATGTGATATGTGCACTGCAGTTGATGTGGGTCCTGGTGCACATATAGGTGATGATTATAAGTACTGGAAGCATGATATGAGTCACTGTGTCATTGGTAGATGTGCATTGATGTGATATGTGCACTGCAGTTGATGTGGATCCTGGTGCACATATAGGTGTTATGGGACATAGTACCCTGGTAGTGCAGATGTATAAAACGGATCCCCTATTCGTTGTTTATGGTCCGGGTACACTTACTTCACTATTGTACTGATGATGTCAAAAATTAAAATTTTCAAAATGAAGTGTACTGCAGATGTAAAACATTGAAGTGTTGAAAATGTATTATCCAAAATATATTTAAATAAAGCTGTTGTTTAAGACCCTGGTACACTTTTGTACTACTGACGTTGAAAATTAAAGTTTACAAAATATTTTCAAAATATATTTAAATAGAGCCATTCTTTCAGGCCGTGATACACTATTGGTCTGCATATTTCGAAAATTAAAGTTAAAGTTAAAATACAAATTGTTATAAAATAAAGTCAATGTTTAATGCCCTGGTACATTTTTGTACTGCAGATGTCGAAAATTAAAGTTTTCAAAATGAATAATACAATGGTATAAAATGAATTCACTGTTTAAGGCCCTGGCACATTTTTGTACTGCAGATGTCGAAAATTAAAGTTTTCAAAATGAATAATACAATGGTATAAAATGAATTCACTGTTTAAGGCCCTGGTACACATTTGTACTGCAGATGTCGAAAATTAAAGTTTGCAAAATGAATAATAAAACTGTATGAAATGAATTCACTGTTTAAGGCCCTGGTACACATTTGTACTGCAGATGTCAAAAATTAAAGTTTTCAATATGAATAATACAATGGTATAAAATGAATCACTGTTTAAGGCCCTGGTACACATTTGTACTGCAGATGTCGAAAATTAAAGTTTTCAAAATGAATAATACAATGGTATGGAATGAATTCACTGTTTAAGGCCCTGGTACACATTTGTACTGCAGATGTCGAAAATTAAAGTTTTCAAAATGAATAATACAATGTTATGAAATGAATTCACTGTTTAAGGCCCTGGTACACATTTGTACTGCAGATGTCGAAAATTAAAATTTTCAAAATAAATACTATAATGGTATAAAATGAATCACTGTTTAAGGCCCTGGTACACTTTTGTACTGCAGACGTCGAAAATAAAAGTTTTTTTTTAAACGAACAATACTATGATATAAAATGAATTCACTGTTAAAGGCCCTGGTACACTTTTGTACTGCAGATGTCGTAAAATTAAAGATATCAAAATGAATAATACAATGGTATAAAATGAATCACTGTTTAAGGCCCTGGTACACATTTGTACTGCAGATGTCGAAAATTAAAATTTTCAAAATGAATACTATAATGGTATAAAATGAATCACTGTTTAAGGCCCTGGTACACATTTGTACTGCGGATGTCGAAAATTGAAGTTTTCAAAATGAATAATAAAACTGTATGAAATGAATTCACTGTTTAAGGCCCTGGTACACATTTGTACTGCAGATGTCGAAAATTAAAAATTTTCAAAATGAATAATACAATGGTAGAAAAATAAATTCACTGTTAAAGGCCCTGGTACACTTTTGTACTGTAGATGTCGAAAATTAATGTTTTCAAAATGAATAATTCGAAATACATTAATATAAAGTCATTGTTTAAGGCCCTGGTACACCAATGTACTGCAGATGTCGAAAATTAAAAGTTTTCAAAAAATATGTAAATAAAGCCATTGTTAATGGCCCTGGAACATTATTGTACTGCTGATGTTTGAATGTTGTTTTCTCAGCTTTGGAAATTCAATTCATGTTTATCAAACAGAGTTTATCAAGTTGTGTATTGCAGTGACAAGGCCCTGATACACGCAGATTTACACTGTTGTCTTGAATTAACATTTTTGTTTTGAATTTATTTACTGTGTACGTTTTGCAGAATTGTTTTGGGTTGGTGGGTGAACATCTTTGTTTAACAGCACTCAGGCTCCATCCTTTTATTGTGGAGCCCTTACCCAACCGCTACCTGAAGTCAAAAGCATGAAATACAAAACGATGTACAGGTATGCATTCAACAATTTTATAAGTGATGTCCGTGTCACAATGTATTTGACTTATCTTTCCAGTTTTGTTTTTTTTAAGGTAAAGTAGAGGAAGCTACTCATGGGGTATCCTGAGTCCACAATGTGTCGGGATTATCCGACTCTAACAAGCTTGTATAAGAAGGTTGTATAAGAGTTCTAGAAGAGAACAATGTCAAAAGAAACCTTTTAATTTTATCAGCTGTAAATGGAAATAATGAATCATTGTATGTAATGAATTGTGTACTTGTATTTTCCGTAAGGATATATAGGGTTTTACGTTTTTCTAAAATTGTTGATATTAGTTCTAAGGTCGAATATTTCTTTTTATGAATTTTATCCTAAGTTATTAATTGCAAAGATAAAAAGTGATGTTTATAAGCAAGGCGCCTTTTGTGTATATGATCACGTACGAATTCTGATACTCCTCCGATTAATATGCTACTTGGATATTTTTTTTATCAGATACATCAGAGACGTCATTAATTTATTTTTAGTTAAAGATAGTTTAGGACTAAAGATTTTATAAAATGTTGGGAAAATGGTTTGAGGTCAGGCGGTGATACTGCTGCAGCCAGTGTCAGTGATCGTCTTCTTAGGAAACATGAAGCATGGAAGTCGTAAAATGCAAAAGAGTTATGAACACGAAAATGTACAATCAAAACGTTCTGTATTGATAAAACAGTTGGCTTTGTAATCTTTATTTCTTTTCTTTCTTTATTGTCGAAACTGCACTTACGAGAGCGCTTCTGTACCTACCTATATACGTGTTGTTATTTATTTTATAAATTATTTATGTTCGTTTGAGTGGAAACGAATAAGAACATAAATGTATTTATTGAAGTTATCATAACACGTGTATCAATTGGACACGTGTTAATCTAGTGTATATGAAGAGTGTCGGTCTGATTGGTTAAAGTATTTATAGAATACCTGTCCTACAGGTATTCTGTTAAAGCACGCACGCTTTAGCGTGTGTAAGATTTAAATGCCATTCGAAGACTCTTTCTCAGTGCAGTCAGACATTGCCCCGCCCACCCACCCTCATAAGTATCATGTTTGTTTTATTAATTATATGTTTTGTTTTGTAGATTGGATGAGTTGTCAAGGAGGAAAGTTGAAAATGTATATTTTGTGTATGATATTAAACTGCACTTACGAGAGCGCTTTTATATCTATCATATACGTGTTGTTATTTATTTTATAAATTATTTATGTTCGTTTGAGTGGAAACGAATAAGAAAATAATCTTATGTGATCTCATATCTCTAACATTCATATAAGCACAGTCTTATTTTGGCTAAAATATACTAAGGAAACTTCATATTGTTAATAAGTCCTTTTGCATAAATTATGATATAATGTCATAATTCATTATGTCTGTTACCCATGGAATTCAGACTTACTAAATTGTGATCTATAAGGAATGTAATAAAAGAAAAAGTAAGAATCTACAAAAGGTTTATCCTTGTTTTGATTCTAAATATGTGCTATATATGGCATACATAATCATTTCATTTTCACTTTTGTTTCTTAGTAATGAGCTTTTCAAAAAATGTAGGACTACATGTTGTATATGCTAATATCTTTTTGTACACTGTACTGACAGGTATTAAACAAAATTGAATCTGCTGTTAAGAGAAAGTCTGTTAGTGTCTAAAAATTACACTGATAATCATTTTGTATTTGTGATATTAATACAATAACTGTGCTTCTTTTGTTATCTAAAGATAACATGATGAACTATTTTCATGAACTTTTTGGCACTGTATTTAAACATGCAATGTTTCATGCAGTTCCTTGTCATATTAACAAAATGATTATATTTTCTACAGTCCTCAACATGGAAGTTATGTTTTATTCCTAACCATCTATAATCCATTCTCTATGAAGTTCAGCCTGTCTGCCCAAATTCCTTTGGAAATACATAGTTAGTCAACCAACATAGAAACAATCAAACTTGAAGGTAAAGTTTCAATGAGATATCCAGTCCTAATTTTTATATATATATTTTTTTATATATGCTTGATTATATTTTCAAATTAATTGAATTGATAAGTAGATGATATGATCTTTTTTTGAAATTATGAGGGCTTGGTGGTCATGGTTATTTTTAGACTATATTGATTTCCTCTATGAGAAGAAGAGCTCCATATATTTACAAAAAATGATCAAATTGTGAAACTAAAATGTGTGAAATTTTTCTTTGCCAAATGATAGTTAACAGCTGACGATATCTTAACAGATATCTAAAAATAAGTTATATCAGATGGTTAATTTATTAACCCTCAGCTTCCTTAAAAGCATAGTTGGTAAAGATTTCAAGTTTTCTATCCAAGTGCTTATGAATTCTGAATTTTTCATTTAATATTGACATTATATTTACAGGGAAAGAATACTACAATGTGGCTCCTCAGGATCAACAGTGAAAAATCTTAATCAATAATGACCCTCCTGACTATGTCTAAAGGCTGTAACCTTTATAGCTGATGTAAGATGATCTGATTGCATGGCATTAAAATTTCCTGGTGTTTCTACCATCCAGGATCTTCTTATGAGTGCATGGGGACTGCTGTGGACCTTAACCTGTTTATAAAAATATACCTTGGAGCATGACACATTATTCATATAAGGTACTTTCAATATCATTTCTATGAGTTTTTCTTCTTTCTTTTAATAATCTAGTAATGAATTCAAGTGTTTTGTTTCCTTACATCACTTAATGTGTATGCTTCCAACATCTCAGATCTGTTTATATGTTTATTTCTCTTTGTTTTTCTGAACACAAAAACCCTGACACCTTTTTTAAAGCAAACAACATGGTGACTTCACATCTGACACAAAGGATAATCAGAGTGTATATTACAATCTTGACTAAAAGGTCTAAGTCATAGCAAATGTAAGAGAGTGTTTTTTTTTTCTATCAGAGAACAAAATTTTGTAGTTAAACAAAAACTGGCAAGTTACTATCAAAATGAGCCTAAATGTCTTCTAAAACTTTAGTGTAGAGTTTCTCCATTAATCCTCAGGTCTCTTCTCCTCTGTGGAGTTAAAATCATGTGTTTTTAACATTTTTTTTTTTTTGCTGACAACTGTTTTCTCTCTTAGCATCTTTAAATTGAATTTTCTCTCCAGTCAAAGGTCTTTCAGGGTAATCCAGGTAATCCTTACCCTCTATTGGTAATTAATGATTATATTCTTCATAGGCTTCTTCTGCAATCAAGGGTCTGTCTATGTAATCTATGACATCACAAGGCCCATCCATTGTGGGGATAATTAGCTATATTCTTCATGAGAAATGATCTGAATAATGTCATCTCTTTTTATTTTAATTGGTAAACCTCGTTCTACATCTTTCTCTGTAAGAACTCTCTCTCCAAACTGAATTTTACTCATTCCTTTACTCTTTTCTTTTACTAAAGCTGTTACCCATGGTTAATATGAAAAGTCAAAATCTGATGTAACACCTTGTTTTTATATCCCTTTTTGTCTATATTTAAAATTCTATTAAGCTTATATTGCATATCAATTTTTCAACTAATAATTTTTTTTTCCTTTCAAGGATTCTCAATGGGGAACTCAGTAAATTATGCACAGTCTAACAGAATATACTCTCTTGGAACACTGATACAAGAATATAAAACCAGAGATGGATGGAGGACTCAAGAAGCACATGAATAAATATGATTCCAAACTAAGTCAATCATGATGATCATGAATTGTGGTTCACAGGATAAGAGAGAAAGGACCCAGGATTGTGCATTTTTCTAGATCCTCTCCCATTCATATCCTTCATATGCTGGCATACAAAACAATAGATAAATTGTAGTCATTTAACAGACTGAAGTTTAATCAAATCAAAGTATTGAAAATGTGTTTTTCTGATAGTATGAGATCTTCAAAAAACTAATTCTCACAGATTTCAAAATATCTAAATTTAACTTTTAATTTATGTAGTACAAATTGAATACAGTTGTTATGTATGACTTTTATACATTGAATCCTTAATTTTTCATCTTATATCTACAACACCCCTAGAAAATACACAGATGTTTAGAAGCTAGCTTTGGTGTAATTATTACTTTCCTGGAACTGTAAATACATTTTGTTTGTGTATGTGTGTGTCCTATTTTGAATTTAATAGGTCTCAATAGGACCCCCCTAAAGATGCAGGTGTCCCCTTATCTGTGATGTAATAATATCTTGAATATTTATATCACCCCATAGACTTCATGCTTACTTCACAGAACAGGTTAGAGTAATACACTTAGTTTTACATGATAATTTGTCAAGGTCAAAGCATGAGATTATTGAGATAACTACCTTTCAAAATAATTTGTAACCTTCAAACTTCACATCATATGTAAAGAATGAATCGGAGATTTTCTATATATTTTTGGATTATTTTTTTCCTGGGTAAAATTTAGTTGTTGTAACTTTAACATTTTGTGATAACTTAGAGACTTTATATCAGCTTTATTGGGTGGCATAGGATATTCTTTGGTAAGAATTGAAATGTAAATCATATGCACTATGTTCAAGGATGTTTAAAGACTATTACTATGTAATACCTTAGAATTCTGTAAAAATCTTATCACTGCATAGATAAAGACTGGTTGGAATAATATATGTTTTGAAATAAGGTTTAGGGAAAAAGTCAAGAATGTGGATATGACTTTTATTCAAATGGTGCAGTACAGCAACTCTGGTGATTTACATACCTTCAGTCATAAATAGATAGGTATTGGGAAGACTCCTCTAGATTTTGAAATTTTCATTCAAAAGTATAGAACTTTTTTTAAAGTTTGAAAGATTAAATGGCAGCATATCATTTGCTTATGAATTAAAAAACAAATTCAAACATATACATCTTTGGATGATAATTGTAGAATTTTATCAATTCCTGGACTTCCATCTTGATATCATCCTTTAATGTCTTTAAAATTTTAATGATTGTCTTTTAGTTTGAATTGAATTAGTTTCTTTTCTACATGTGAAAATGACATCATCCAAAGAAGTTCTTCATCTGCATGTTATATGAAGAAGACAATTTTCATCACAGTGAAAGAGATTGTTTTGTTAAACATAATGCATTGATGCACAAATATATTTTTAAATTTCTAATAGCAAGGGTTCATATTTCTTTATATGGAATGCTAAGTACTGTTGATTTCATTTTTTTTATGAACAAAGACATACTAGTAGAAAAAATGTACATGATGTGTCAGAAAAGCATGCAGAAACTTGATGACTTTATCATTGCTGATTAAATCAAATTATGAGTTTCATCTTTGTTACATTGTAATCATTTCTAAGTAGGGCACACAATAGAAACTTAAAATTATTATATCAGGGTTTAACACAACAATTCCAAATGATTTTTGGACGCTTTTTATGTATCAATAAGACAAAACAGAATGTTTGTTCACAGATGTTCCAATGGAAAACAACCACAAAAAAAATGATTTGTAATGTTCTTTATGTGATTCATGTAAAATGTATTTTAAAAATGTACCCTAACATTTATCTTTTGCATAAAGACATATTTTTGTGGAGAATTTTTCATAACTTTGAAAAAAAGTAGTCTTATTGTATAATATGGTTAACTTAAAATTTTGTAGACTTAAAAGTTGTACATGATGTGTTACACATCTTACATATGTAACCGTTGCATTTCAGGATATTCAGCATATATTGTGGTTTTGTCTTAAATTTGTTTATGTAATCAATAATTTAAGAATACTCAAATTACGTAATGCATGAGAGAATAGGCAAGAAAATCAGGTTTAAGAAATGGTTTTTACTATTTATAAAGGTTAAATCTATATATTGAATCTATAAGTACATTTAGTCTATACATTTAAGGTATTTGTGTATGAAATGAACTCGTATTTGAGCATTTTAAGACAATTGTAAACATTACTTTAACCAGTTTTAAAAATGATTAGATTCACTGTCAGCATGTTATTTCTTGTAAAATAAATGAGAAAACAAACAATTTTATTTGAGTCAGTTTTTTTTAATGTAAATAAGAAGCATTGGAAGTTGGGAATATTTCACAAAGTTGATTGAGCATAATTTTCACTAGGACAGTAGGAGTATTATGATTTAAGCATTAAAGAAACCATTTTAAATTTCAATATACAAATCATGATTAGTCATGCAGTATAAAGTTTACACTTGCCAAAAAGTAAATGGTATCTCTATTCAGGGTCAATCCAAAGGAATGAAAACAATGTTTCTTTCTATGTATCAAATTTAAAGGATTTCTTGCAATAAATTCACTCTATTCATTTTTTGTCCTCTTTCTATGTATGAATATCTCTGATTTAGGCAATCAGAATACAAGAAGTAAATGAGTTATGTCAAATGATGAAGGTATACACCAGAAATTAACATGGACAGAGAATTCTGAGTTTCCCTCAAATATGGCCGCCAAGTGATGTGAAATAAAAACAAAATGTGGATCCATCTTATGATTGAGACTAGTACATATTATGAATGATGGGCACTATGACCATTAGAATGACATGAAAGAAATAAGTGTGATTCAATTATATGCTTAATCCATACAATCAAAAGAGAGGAAATATTTTTCTTTATAGGCATAAAGTAAGAAACACTCACCCAATTCATCAGAATTTTACTCTTTGTAGAAAAGGAACCTTACTTGCTTTGTTGAGTTGACATTCCTATTTTGTCTTTGGTAGGTACACTAATGGATTCTTTGACTACAATGAGAACTTTTTATTTAAGAGTCCTCAGATTGTCCTGATATTTTGGTTAAAATAACTGCATGACATCAAATAATTTGTTCATACAAAGGAATAAAATCATTTTCCAGGTTTCTTCTTTTTTGGGTCAAATTAAAAATAGTGTCCAACTAATATATTCAAAATATAATACAAGATAATCACCCAAGTTAGACAATGGTAAATAAATGACATTTTTAAGGTTTTAGTCAAAAGATCAAAGTGAGAAGGATATTTAATAGTTTGGTTAATATTCATCAAACTCCATGGATAGAGTAATTAAACAAGCTTCATAAATTTTGATTTTCAGGTAAAAGATTAGCATAATTTTTGCTATACCATTGTTGTCCATGAATATCTTAACACCTCTTTTGGCTTTTCAGGTTAAAGGTCAATGTATTCCTGCTACAGTAAAAACTTCATTATAAGGATCTCATAGTGATATTTTTTTATTTGTAAGAAATTAGGTATAAAATCTCCCACTCTTTCTATAATATATCAGAGAATGTGCTCCTATATTTTTAAAGAATTTTACAAGTAAATCATATGTGACGCGCCAAGCAAAAACCTCCCTTAACGAAGAATTTTGACATTTTCAGTTTTTTATTGATTCTTGTAGAGTTTTTCTTTCTCTTTCATTTGATGTATAACATGACATATATTTCTGTATATAAATATATAAAAGATCGCATGACAAAGACGGAATATTTACTTTGACGTACAGTGTACGCGTGCGTAACTGCATGAATTTTCATAACATGAAATCGTAAATTGACGTAAAGCTATATAATAATTTGATGATATTTATATTATTAAACTTTTGATTTAATTCCCTTAAAAGTATCAACAATTAAGATTTTTTTCATCGTAATAAAAGAAAATAAACATTCTAAAGTATATAGATCCTTGAGAAACAAAAGACGGGAGGGGGGGACCGAAATGATCAAGGGAAAAAACAAAACAAAACAATCAAAAATCTTCTCTTCCTCGGGGAGATCTCCAATTTATGGCTTTTTAATGCAGTAAAATGGCATAAATGTACATCACTGCAATAGTAAAAGAAAATAAGCAACATTTGGATAACAAAAATCCTATTGTGGTAGTACAAACGACACACTTACGGCTTCCTACTAGCTTTGGCTAGTGGGTTAACCCTTAAGCTTATTCGGTAAAGCAAAGAGGCCTCGGGTTCAATCCCAATTAAGCAGAGGCACTTAATTGTCTCTGTAACACTATCAAAGTATTTATCTGTAAAAAAGTTCGAGAAAGCCCCCCCCCCCCCGGCATTAAAAGTCTATTCAATACACAGAATAGATAGAAAGCATTGTCATAGTTCATGTTCTAAATACCTGAAATTTTAAAGAGTGCGACAGGTTTTTTTTTCCTATCTAAAGGAAAATAAGTTAAACATTTCTATTTTCACAAGTTTCAACTATTTACATGTTTTAGTTTCGAATGTTTTCATACTGAAGATCTTTTGGCTTATTGAAAAGATATTCTGCACCCAAGAATAAATTGTATTTGTTTCTTGTAGTATAGATTGATCCTTTTCTTCTTCGTGTGTCCGTATGAAATCAGTCTTTAATTCACAAGAACTTGAAAGTTCTCAAACTTGTTTCCAATCCGTTTGTATAATTCAATAAATGCGTGTTTCAATCAAATCAATAAAGATTAGGTGCATCAAAATTTAAAGTGTTCAATCATTATTTCTTGGTAATTCTTTAACATTTGATTTATTTTTCCTGGCCTTCCGTTTCCTATTTTATATTTATGTTTAAATTATTGAAAATAAATATATTTAGAATTATTTTCGTATCTAAATGCATCTGCATACTTGCCAACATGTATATTTTATCCACCTCCCATGTCTCTACCAGCAATAAACTCACTTGAAGTGAATTTTCAGCAATCTAACAAATAATTTTAATCAAGCGAGTTTATCACTTGTAGAGACGACTATAAAGGGTTGGGAGATGGATAAAATATACAGATTAGTTAAATAATGTGCCTAGAATTAGGGAGTGAAAGGTAGTTAATTGACCGATGCTGGAAAGTGGAGTAATTCTCCCCAAAAGTGCGCAAAAAATATTGCGCCGCAAATTGCACCTTTTTGCATTACGGTATCTGTAGCGTTATGGTCAAAGACAAATATAAAACGATAACGCTACAGATCTACAGCTACATACTTTTCAGTGAATCAGAATGTAACACCCATCCCCACCCAATAAAATATATGTATTTTTAAATCTTGTTAAATAAAAAAAATCTGCAATTTATATGTATGAAGTTATAGTGTAATCATGAATTAATATTGAACCCATCATTGTATATAAGTCGAATAACAAACCACAATACCAGAATATATATGAATCCCACAAGTGACACGTACACTCCACAACTTCATTTCTAGACATAGAATACATGTATAAGGCATATACTAAGCTTCACTGTTACCTTTATGAGAAAGTACATGCACACATTGTGATTTATTTTAATCATATCAAATGCACTAGAAAGTAAGAGAACGGGTAAAAAATTCTTAATATTCTAATATTCTTCGATCATCATAAACGGGAAAGGGGGGGGCGTGTCTCAGCTATGGACATTCACGCTTAATTGATAACCTGAACTAATTAAACAAGAACAAGGCACACATGTACACTCTTAAGCTGTAACTTTAGTTATTTTTTAAAAAATAATTAATTGTTGTAATTTATACATTTTTTTGATACACGAGAAGCTGTATGAATGTGTTAGTTGATCAAGCACGCAATATTCAAGCCGACCAACATGTATTTTTTATGTTCGATAAATCCTTTATCTTAGAATATAGAGCGTTTTGATCATTGAATTAAGTAAAAGATATTCAGATTTTCTATCCCTCAACTTCCATATATCTTGAGCAAATATAGGCATATTACCACGGATTAACATATTTTGTGCAGATTTGTACCGTACTAATTTTTCATTAAACTGCCCATACATGTACATGTACACATGTTCAATGCAACTTTTGCAGGAAAAATTTATTGACATTGTTAAAGTTTGTTACTTGTATACATTTAAAAAATTACGTGTAATTGGTAGCAAATTTTCATAATTTGAAACGCGTATACATATTCATTTAATTGCGATTCAACAGAAGGAAACACGATTATTATTTTCCAAGGTAGATGTTAAATCATGAAATGTTGGTAGTAAAGTCTTTGTCGGGGAAATAATTATTACAGGTTAAATAATTCTTAATACCAAAGGTTAAAATAAAATCATTAAATAGAAAGTCTTTAACCTCTATCTAAAACGTTTAATGTATACTTTCATACTGCATTGATGTTTTGAGTTAAGAGGGCTGAATGAGCACTGCAGACGTTACTACATGTACATGCAACAGCCTAATTCAGCGATTTTATAAATGACCGAAACTATGTTGTTTTCAGGAATCCAGAACTCCAGAATCTTCTTTAGTACATGATGATAAACCATGCACAAAATAATAATAGGTTGGAATGTTTTAAAAGTGTTCAAACAATTTGTATCAATTTTTAACAATTTGTATTGATTATAAAATTTTAGCGATGTATCCTGTTTGCGATTTTTACATTCGGTTTATTGTGTATAACCTCATCAAAAAAATTATGAAAAGGTCGATAATCATAACTATGTTCAATCTGTCTAATTCTCAATCATA